CTTTCCCTGTCATTCTTGACAGGCAATTGGCTAATCTATTAATAAAAAGTGCCTGATTGCCGAGAAGGACAGCATCAAATTGGGAAGAAAATATAAAATGTCTCCCCCCTACTCCTGTACCCAAATCAGGCTGGGCTGCTTCCCATCTCTGGCACCCATGTTAAGGCCAGACAGCTCCCTGCTGCTCCCTGATAGGCAAACAGATCAGGGTTCGGCTGCACACCCCATCTGGGGCCACACCAGCCTCATATACTGGATTGAGACCACTGGCTGGATTAGACCTACAGACAGACTAGCACTACCCATTCAACCTGTGGGATGAAAAGGTTGGGCACCATTGTGCTAAACCAATCTAATTTCTTGTCTCTTCTCTTCATGTGGAAAGGCAGATAGCCTACGCTGTTCTGACCAAGTCAGAACACCTTCAACATCCTTAAAAAGGAAAAGTGAATTTGCTTCCTCTTCGTCAACTCATATATACCAATGCAGTGGTACTATCATCTGATCTGGTACTAGTATCTGATACTAGTTGACAGACAGTTGGAAGCAGAGAACACCCCCTCAGATGATCCTTAGGTCTACCTAGTAACTGACTTGTCTCAGAATTGACTCTGGTCCTGACTGGTTGCAATTTCTTTCTGATACAGGAAGAAGCAAACTTGGAGCATTCTCATAAAATTGGGCCAATTTTAGAATTTCCATGCATAAAACAAGTACAATGAATAATATCAGGAGCTTCAGAAGTGTGTGATGACCTAATTCAGTATATCAACAAGATGATGTTCTTTTATTTAACCTGAAATGAACATTTGTGCTCATCAAGGCTCAGCACCACTCCTAAATACAGAAACTGATGAGACAGGAAAGAACTCTTCTGTCATTAAACACCGAGAACCAGTGATTCTACACACGGGTTACTATCCCCCCTAGTTCCCACAGGGCTATGGACAGGAAAAGATTGTTAAAGAAGAATAAATGTTTGTCTGTCTGTCAGAACAACCACTAATACTGCAGGGAACATTATGAATACTTTAGCCCTAATAGATGTGTCCTGACCTTGAGTTATAGCAGCAGACATTTAGAGTGAAAAATATTGAGTGCCTGCTTGACACATAGGGATAGTCTTCTTTGAAGTCTAATGTAGGTGTCTGAGCTGAGTGGTTACTTGTTATAATTGTGTCTGCCAAAAATAAAAGAGGGACAAGACTAAGGCCTCAACAGCCCAGAGGTGACTCAATAAGTCACAGAAGTGACTCATTTTCTGACTCTGACAAAATGAGTATATTTAACTATGGGATTGATAAGCAGGGATCCTGGTTTTCCCTGATAAAAAAAAAAAAAAAATCACAAATTCTAATAAAAAATTTCAAATCTGGGATTAAAATGAAAGGCCCCTCACTCCCTCCTACAATCCCCCTGAGCCTGTTTGTGCCCCTCAATTCCCCCCCAACAGCCCCTGGGCTTGCTCATGCCACTCACTGCCCCTCCTCCACAGCCCCCTTGCCCTGCTCGTGCCCCTTGCCCCTACAACCCCGCCCCACCGCCCTGCTGGAAGGGGCCCCTAGCCAGGGACCTGGGTCCGCAGCAGCTGCTGCTGCAGCAGAATGGAGCCCGCCTCCACCCCTCCCACTGCCTGGCTGCTGTGGGCTGGGGGGGCGGCATGGCTGCTTGTTGCTGTGAACACTCCTGGGGGGTGCAGAGGGGACCCATGCCCCCAGATCTCTGCGTGGGACAGGTGTGGGCTGTCCGCTGCAGGCTTGGACTCCCACCTTGCTGCCCTCCCCCAGCACGCGTTCCCTGCAGCACTGGATCACATTTGCTGGGCTGCAGCGGCCTTGAGGGAGGACAACAGGGCAGGAATCCAAGCCCACAATGGGCAGCCCACTTCTGCCCCACATACAGATAAGGGGTCTCCCCTGCACCCCGGAAGTGAGCTCAGAAGCAGGGAGCTGGCTCCCACCCTGCCCTGCTCCCTGGATGAGCCACCAGTGGCCCTGTCCTGCTCCCTGCTGGGGCCTTGCTACTGTGCACTGCAGCCCCAGGCCCCAAGCCCCAAGCCCCACCCACTGTTCGGTTGGGGAGCAGCCCCAGCCCAAGTCAACTCCCTCTCTCCCTCCATATGGGTTCCTCAATTCCACCCCCCTACCTCCACCTACAGGAGCTGCTTTCCAGACTGCCTGGTGGTCATGTACATATACATGCACATGGTGCCCCTGCCTGACCACCCTCCTCCTGCTCCCTCCCAGCCCCTTACAGGCTGGAACTCGGCCTGCAGAGAGCTCTTTGCAAAACTGCAAAATCTGCAGGTTTCTCCATGAAAATGAGAAATCCATGTTTTGCTCAGGTAAAGGGGAAAACCCATGTTTTTCTCCATTTTCCGTGGGAAATGGAAAAATTGGATCTCTGTTGATAAGAAGCACTAGCTTTGCTAGTGCGCTCCCATTTAGTCTTGATTTTTAATTCAAGCACCAGGAACACAATGTAGTAGAACATAATTTTTTTGCATGAACAAGAAACTCTTTGAGAGTCTGTCCAAAATTTCCCCTCAGACACAGACGGGGGAAGTGAACAATGGGGGAGAATGAGAAGAAAGAGAGGTAAGTATACTGTACTATAGCCATAGATGCATTTTAAAGTAATTTAGCCAAATAAAAATCTTTCAACTCTATAGACATTTTTAAAATTAAATAACTAATTAAGGTAACTAGCAACCTTCTCCCATTATCTCAAACTTCTAAGAAAAAAAATCCAGATGATGCTGCATTTTGAACTGAATGGATCTTCCATTTAAAGTTCTGAAAGAAAAAGTTCAAGTCCTGAGAAGTGCAGAAATCTGGCCTCTATGTGGGCTCAGTGTAATATTTTACTGCTCTTTTTTCCTTACCATTCAAATATGCCAATCTAGCAGTATGTGATTTAGTCTTCAATGCTTTTAAGGTGGATGGAGGAGATGCAAAGAAGTAGATTTAAAAGGGAACACTACTTCTAATATGTGGGACTGTCCTTTGGTTTGGTATTGGTATAAATTGGGTGCATCTACAATGCAGTAAACTCCAGAGCAGTTCGAGCTGGAGTCAATTGCTCCTGGGCACAGTGTCTATACATGTGCCCAGGATGGCAGTAATTTGAGCCTGGGCAGAAGAGCCCCAGGCTGGCATGGAGCAGTGGGGATCAGCCCTGGGCTCTGGGTGGTGGTGTAGGGGCTGGCAGGAGCCAGGAATCTAGTCCCCAGTTGGCTGGGCTGACTGGGTAGAATTTGGTCACAATTTGAGCCCAGTGATCACCATCTACATGTGCATTTAATCTCACTTAACATTGCTGTAAGATATTCCTTAAGGCTGTAGTCAAAGAACTTGAGGGAGCTGCACATCAATCTGCATTCTGAATAGTACAGAAGCTATCCTTAGGGCATCCTAAGAGCAGAAATACTTATTCTGAAAAAATCTCTGTCTCAGAGAATACTGGTTAATGTTTCTCTACAACTTTGTATTGAGGATTCTAAGTAACTGAAGTAAAGTTTTTGAATTCTAAGTAAAGTACACTGAAATTTGCTTTCTCCAACACTCCCCTCCCAACCCATAACCACATCAATATATAGTACTATGTCATCACTAAAATATATGATTATCTTGGTCTGGAATATGCACAGCGCCACAAAACAGAGTCTGCAAAGTACTAAATTAATCACCAGTTTTTGCAGCTTTATCAGTTATATACAGAATGTGTTCACATCCACGCAGGCATTTCTTAGATTTTTAATGCAACTTGAGTGATTCCTCAATTAGCTTATGATTTGGATGTTATTTTTAAGGACAAACGGATTTTTCCTGCCAACACCTGTATTACTCAACCACTGTCTTTTACCATGTGTGATGAAAGGAAAGCAGGAAATACAACAAATACGTGCTCAGCATTGGTGTAGTATATCTGCAATTATAATTAAACTTACTTCTTTTTTATTTAGCTGCTATATTCCATTACCTCATTCCACCATTTAGAGAACAATTGTTGCAGAAGAAAGAGCCATTTTATTATTATTTTGAGTTTACAAATCATTAAATGACTAATTTCAAAGATCTGACATTAAGAAATGTGGTAGTTCACTACTGCTTAATACCAAACGAATAAAATTAATACATACCCAGTTGCCCACATAATTGCATAATATTAGTTTAATTACGCTTAATGGCATAAAATATGTAACTAAGCAGAATAACTATTATTAACATCTTTCAGTAAGTATAAAATAATAACTGAAACAAGATTTTTGTCAAGTCTACAATGCCTTCAGATATATGGACATAAATATCAAGACCTCCAACTTCAAACTAAACTTGTGATCAAATTATTGCTGAAACCAACATATCTTTAGAGTAATTTCTGGTTCTTAATGAAGAGTGTATCCCTCCCTTCTAGTCTACTGGGGACTTCTAGTCAGCCATAAAAGAAAATGTTACATATCCTGCAAACTTTTCCTATACCAGATGAAAGAAATAAAAAAAATTTTAGCTATATAATATTAACAAGCACAATGTGCCATTCTTACAAAAACTGTTTAATACTGCAACACATCTATAAGGACTATTTTTTGTCTCTCTTCAAGGAGATTAATTAGGCATGACCTTTATGTACTGACTATATACTCTAGAGTTCACTCCCTGTCATGACTAAGCTGATTAAACAGAATAAGAAATAACACTGCCTTTTCTGAGAACTGACAATTTGACTAGAAAACTACAAGTAAAATAAAACGTTTATTAAAAAACCCACTTCATTAAGCTATGTATTCTTAGCTCTGTCCATAGAGAAGCATGGAATTTTTGGGGAGATATCTTTTATGGACTAACTGGATGGTTCAGATAAAGTCAGACAAGCTTCTGAATGCAAGGCATTCTATATCAGGTCTGAAGAGGGAAGCATGCACAGCAATGATTAAGAACAGTGGGTAGAGCTGTAGCTCTATTCACAGTACTATACACTATAATATCAGACTCAAGTATGCTATGAGACAAACTTGTAATAAACAATTGCAGCAACTGTAATTTAGTCATATCTACTCATCAACTATGTGAACATTTTTCTGGTATTCATGTAATACACTTGATTTAAATAATTTTCCTGTCTAAATTAACCATTTTACAGTAAGATGCTTTTTGTACCTGGTGTGTAATTAAATCGTTGAGACTGGCTTTTTTTCCTCTTGCCATTGCAAAGATAAAACTGCACCTGGACTGCAGCTGTAATGGCTTTGTTATGGTATGGAGGAACTTCAAGAACAATGTTAGTCTAAATGAAAGTAAAAAAAAGGAGCATTACTTTTATAATGTAAATAAAAAAAACACACCTGTTAAGTACAGAATAACTGAATGCAAGACTTAAGCAAATGGGTACTTTTTGTTAGATGACTTAGGTCTACACATCTTCTTAACAAACAAGAAACAAGAAAATGACAAACATCATTATGCAGGAGTCTTCCTCCCTCCCTTTCTCCTCAGCATAAACATTCTAGAGATTACAGATTTTTTATTAAAAACACATATTTATCTCAAATATTTATGTATCTTTTAAGGGTGTTAGAATGCTGTAGCTGCAAACAGAAACTAAACTTTGTAACACTGATCTGATAGGGAAAATTTTAATATAGTGGTAGTAAGTTTTCACTTTAATACAATTAATCTTCCAGTTTTTCAAAACGTTTAACATTTTAGTTTCTTAGGAAGCAGCAACCCAATGACTACTTTACATTTTTGTTACACCAATTCAGAAGGTTTCTAGCTGAGGTAAGTTAACTTGAAGAACTTGTTCATATGTACCTACTTATTTACTTTACAAAATCTTAATTCAAGTACAAACACACAGAAGACCAATTTCATACTTTAAAATAAAATAAAACAACTTTACAAAGAAAGAAAATTAAGTTTCTCACCCCTTGACACTTTTCCCTAATTATTTTCCCTTCTACCTCCCACTGAGGTCGACCATCTGTTGAGAGAAATTTACAAGAAATTCAAATGAAATTTCTTATCCTTTGAAATACTTTTAATATTGTGAAATGTATTCACTTTCAGTTATAAAAAGCAGTTCATAGAGGATACTACAACTATATTATAAATGAATTAGGCAAACAACAAAAGATTCCTTATGTACTTTAATCTGCTCAAAATTCCAGAAATTCTAATTATTACAATATATATTTTTTGCATTTTGCAAATATTTCTGATAAGATTTCTTATTTAGGCTTCTATTACAATGCAAAAACATGAACATTATATACACATTTAGTTTTTAATTCTAAAACATATATTTACACACACACACACACACACACACACACACACACACACACACACACACCATACACAATATATAAGGGGAGACTACTCATTAGTTCCCCTCACACATGCATAATTATTAAAAGTTTGGGACATTGGACATATTAAATCCCTACTTTGGGGTAACTCTCTTGTTTTGCAGTAGATACCTGGTAATCTGGAGTTACTGCACAGTCGCATCAAGGAATGGCTTTTTTTTTTTTTACACTGACTGCACAGTAGCTTGTGACTAGTGTGCAGTAGTGTCATGTCATGCTTCCTACCATGTGATGCTACTGTGCAGTAGTCACAGGCTACTGTACATTAAGTGTCTTATGTAGACACGGCCACTGAGAGCCAAATTTTGGTTCAGGAAAGAAAGTTTGCACTAGGTCAGATTGGCATTGACAATGCAAGATTTTGCCTTCCTCTGTAGCATGGGCTTAGTCTTCATAGAACTTCTGAGCATGTATTAACAAATTACTTCCTTGTAACTACAATGTCAGGGCACTGACAATGACATCATATGCCCTGCTTTTGTCTACAGCATGTTATAGGGTGTTGCTGGTGTTTTTAGTATAGTGTAGTTGTGTAAGGATGTGAAGTGGAGGCTTCTTTGGGTAAATAATCACAGGGGGCTGGACTGAGAGAGAGACCTTCCACTCCTACATTCCTATGTTGAATGTGGCAGCCTGAAAACTGAAGGCCTGAAAGCACCAGAGGACAAATAACAATTTGTAGTTTAAAATAATGGCAATTATGGCTGATGATTTAGAGAATTTTCACCTAACTCACAAGGAGCTAATGATTTTCAATACTGTCTGCTATCAAATTTTATTCAGAAATGCTATCTTTCTTGTGTAAGTCAAGTTATTTGTACCCATAGATGTTTGCAAGATCAGAACCTCAAGTATCAGGCATGGCATATAGTTTTCCTTTTCCAGATTTAGGCAAGTTTTGTGTAGTTGAGTTTTAGTGCCTGACACATTACAGACAGGTTTAGTTTTCAAGGGAAGTAAAAAAACAAGATGTGTATAGTTTGAAAAAAGAAAAACCTGTTAGAAATGAAGTCCTTCAGAACTACTTTCCACTGTTGCTATTGTGTTAATTTTGGGGAGAAACTTCATTATACAGGTCACACACGTTTACATTAGTGTCTCAATTTTATTTTTTTCATATTAATAGGTTCACCCTCAGAGATGCATCAAGTTTAAGATGATAGTTTTGAAAACAAAATAAATATAAAATATAATTCTTCATAATATTTCCCTACAGATACTATTAGTATTGATAGTCTAAGGAAAGCTGAACAATATTTTATCCTTATCCCAATGGTTTTTGTTTTTATGCACACACGAATTAAGAAGGAAAGAGTCAACATAGTAATCTTTTACCCTGGGTGAATTCAACACCTTAAACTACAATTCCCCACTAGAGTTGCCAGTAGTATTCAATATAAAGAGCAGGAATATCTGCTCAGACAAGTAATATTATTGCTTCCTTATCTGGCTCTGCACAAGGTGCATAGGGCAGTTTTGCTTGACTGTGGCAGTAGCACCTAGGTTGAAAACCAGAGGTAAACTGAGGTACTACAGTGGTGGTTCTGAACTGGAGTGATGCCAAATTCAGAAATGTTATGGAGAAGTGCCTTGTATCTAAAAGGGTTGAGAACCACTGTATTTGACTTACAGGGTTGAATACATTTTGCCAAAGTTTCTCTCAATATCTAAATAATTGGGGGGTGTTTTTATATTTGCTCCAGGGAGTTGCTCTAATAAAAGTGCCTGCCACATCTCATATATCAGTGTCCCTGCACTTCAAAATGGTGATGGGGGCACTTTAACTGAAGCTTGTTCGATGAACTTTAGTTAAAGCACCTCTGTCACCATTTTGAAGCATGGGGATGCTGATACATGAGATGTGGACACTGGCTGGAGAGCACTAATTAGCACACTTAACCAGACTTGATTAGTCGAGTAATAACAACATGTCAGAGCAGCCTCCTGGCACATCTAAAAGCACCCTAAATGCGTGAAAACGACTTAACACAGACGGGGCAACTTGAACTCAAGGTATTTCAATGCCATTATTAAATAACACAAAAAATTAGCCAGTTAACACTGTTAGTAAAAAAGTGAAATTTAATGGAAAATTAGGAAAGAAATCATTAAAAGAAATGCCATATAACCAAATGGTGAATTTAGGTTCCTAGTCTAAAATTACACCAGTGGATTCTTAATTATAGAAGGTAATATTTAAGAGGTAAGGTGGATCAGTATCAAAATATTTACCAGAGGAGATAAAAATATGGAGAGAAATCTTAAATACCAGAATATTTTTAAGAGAACTGAACTCATCATTCAAAAAGAAAAATGGAGTGACACTAGATTTGGATGGAATCCAAATCCATTAGATTGGATCCATTAGATCCATTGGATGCATTAAAATCTCCATATACAGGGAGTTTTAAAGTACAGACAAAATCAGTTTTACATATAAATACAGGTGGACAAACTGTTTAAGACAGTGGTTGTCAACCTTTTAAGACTTGAGGTACCCCTTGGAAACGCCAGCTTTTAGTTTTCATTCTTTTTTTTGACTACAGAAAAATAATAGAGTTTTCTGTTGAAAATAACTCAGAAAGACCACAACTATGGACTTCTAGTTGAAATATCTGGTTCATCTTGTGAATCATGTTTGTAAACTTGACAGTGCTATCTCAAAGCACCTCAGAGTGCCATGGCACCCTGGTTAAGAATCACTGGTTTAAGAACTTCGGAAAGAAACTGCAAAAAAAATGGAAAAAAGGATTTAAATAATTAGAAAAAAAAAGCTAGTATGTAAAAAGAAAAGAAAAATCATACTTCTTGTTTGAGTCCTATTCCCATGCCTTGCTCTGTTAAAATGAAACAAGCACAAAATCCTTAACTTTGCCAAGCTTTTTAGCTTTCCAAATTTGGTAGAAACTGAACCCTTGTGCTCAAACTACAACAATCATAACCTCAAAGCTCTAGAACCTTCTCAAGGGGCAGTCATACCTCCCAAAATTCAGTGTTTCTAAATATTTTGCAATTAGGTAAGAAATTCAATTTCAATGAACAAAAAAATGTTTCACACACCTCGAAGAAACACTCTACAAACCGAAGGAACATGATGGAAAAGTGAAACTAAAAAAATGATATTTTCCAATAAGAATTACAGGTAAATAATAAGTATCTATAAAGGTATAATTATCAGTTGGATGCCAGTTACTAGAAAGGCTAAGACTTTGAGAAGGATAGCATAAATCAAAATATAAGTAATGACAACTGCAGTAGCTCGGAAAACTTATCTGGCCGATGTCAACCATAAGAGTTTTTTAAAAACTGAAAAGCAGGGTCACATACCTTAAAAACTAAATTGTTAAGATGATAAATTTTCTAGTTTTTATGATAAAAGAGGGCAGAAGGCCTTGACTATATACACTTTCAGGAAGTGTGGTCAAATAAATAAAGATCTTTAAAAAGAGATAAACCCATCTCCACATGCAAGTACAACTAGCGAGGCGAAATGTTTGAGTATCCTACCCTTAATGTGCGGAAACCCCCCCATTACAGTCCAAAGCACAATTCATTTCTAGTTGATCATGTAGTCTGATTTGTGCGTCTCAAACACATGCAGATTAGCACCACAGCTTTTGAACACCAGGTCCAATGGGCGGATACAGCATCATATGACAGCATTATATGCCTAACAATTCCCTCCCAGAATTGTTTGCAATTTGAATACACGTATGTGCAACTGCTCATCTACAAAGAAATGACTAGTAATGATAATTTTGTGAACATGAACACCTTCCTGCCAAGATGCCAACATAATACTTCTGGAGCCAGACCATGCTGGGAACTGTGCAGGTATAAGTCAGTAAAAATTAAGGTAATTAAAATCTCAGTAGAGCAACAGTCTTTTGGTACTGGAAGGTTAGTAGGTTCAAATTCAGGCAAGTAGTGGAAGCTTCTACATGTAGTTACCAACCAAACTATGGAAATGTTCATCTACAATACCACTTGAAAGTGTCCACTAGCTGGCGAAATTTTCTCAGATTGTGACTGTCTTATTGGCCTGTGTGAAGTGGCTAGTATTGACTTCGGATTCAGAATTGGCCGATTTGGGGGACAGTGATCTGATTCAGTGATTCGAATCACTGTCCCAAATCAATTTGGCTGAATCTGATTCGGAGATTCAGCAGCAGAATCTCTGAATCAGCCAGGACCATCCCCAGCAGCCCAGCAATCGGTGCCCTGCCTGTCCCAGCTCCCGGCACTTGGAAAAAAGACACCTCGAACCAGTGGGTGCTGCCAGGCAGGGGAGAGATCCCCGCTGCCCCCCATACCCCCGCACTGCATGGGGGACTCTGCACATACACCCCAACCCTCCCCCTGCTGTCCCAGCCTCCCCCATGGTGGCTCCATGCACTGCAGCTCCAGCTCTTTAAGAAAAAAAAAAAATGAGAAAAAGCCCAGACTCACCTCTCCTGCCAGCAGGGGGGCAATCCCCGCTGCCCCCTGCCATGTGGAGAGGCTCTCCCATGAGCCCCCTGAAGCCCCAAGGCCACTGCAAGAGCAGTGAGCCCTGGGGCTTTTCTCCATTTTTCTTTTTTCTTAAAGGGCCAGAGCTGCAGCAGGCAGGGCA